TCGGTGGAGCTCCCTATGGGGCCACGAAGCGTGTGAGAAGTGTGCCGACATGGGTGCGGTGCCGCCATGCCAACGCAGCCACTGGGGCCCTCGGTGGAGCTCCCTATGGGGCCACGAAGCGTGTGAGGGGTGTGCCGAAATGGGTGCGGTGCAGCCATGCCAACGCAGCCACTGGGGCCCTCGGTGGAGCTCCCTATGGGGCCACGAAACGTGTGAGGGGTTCGCTGTGCCGACAATGGGTCATGCGTTGCCGCTCATTGCGAACGCCAGCAATGGGGCCCTCGGTGGAGCTCCCCATGGGCACGAAAAGTATGGAGGGGGTGCGACATGGGTGCGGTTGCCGCCATGCAACGCTGGGGCCCTCGGTGGATGGAGCTCCCCATGGGGCCACGAAACGTGTGAGGCGTGTGCACCCCCTGGGATGCGGTGCCGGCCATGCCAACGCAGCCCTGGGGCCCTCGGTGGAGTCCCATGGGGCACGAAAAAACGTCTGTGAGTGGGTGTGCCGGACATGGGTGCGTGGCCGCCGTGCCAACGCAGCCACTGGGACCCTCGGTGGAGCTCCCCATGGGGCCACGAAAGTGTGAGGGGTGTGCCGACATGGGTGCGGTGCCGCCATGCCAACGCAGCCACTGGGGCCTCGGTGGAGCTCCCCATGGGGCCACGAAACGTGTGAGGGGTGTGCCGACATGGGTGCGGTGCCGCCATGCCAACGCAGCCACTGGGGCCCTCGGTGGAGCTCCCTATGGGGCCACGAAACGTGTGAGGGGTGTGCCGAAATGGGTGCGGTGCCGCCATGCCAACGCAGCCACTGGGGCCCTCGGTGGAGCTCCCTATGGGGCCACGAAACGTGTGAGGGGTGTGCCGACATGGGTGCGGTGCCGCCATGCCAACGCAGCCACTGGGGCCCTCGGTGGAGCTCCCCATGGGGCCACGAAACGTGTGAGGGGTGTGCCGACATGGGTGCGGTGCCGCCATGCCAACGCAGCCACTGGGGCCCTCGGTGGAGCTCCCCATGGGGCCACGAAACGTGTGAGGGGTGTGCTGTGATAGTGGGAGGGGGGAGGAGGCGGAGGAGGAGGAAGGAAGGAGAGGAGACGCGGGGCACCGTCTCTTCAAAACGAGGACCCAACACCACAGGATTCCCCGGGGGAGAAAAAAAGAAGCTGGGCTCGGCCACTTCTGGCAGCGCACCGAGCGGTGGACGTGGCATGGCGTCTCGTCTCTGCCAGTGTGGATGCCAGGACAATGGACACTCTCATCATTGAATTAAAGATGTGTTAAAATGTTGAACATATTTTAAACATGCTTTAATCGTGTTTCCGGCATGTTTAAGACATGTTTGAAACATTTCTTAGACATCTGGAAATTAAACTATTTGGCAGCACGCTTCCTCTCCATTGATCGGCTTCCACAACAGGAGCTGCCATCCCACCGAGGCCTGGGTCCCGGCTGCGCCAGCGGAGGCCTGGCGGGTGGTGGGCGCCTCCTTCCCCCTCCCGACTCGGCGGACGAGGAGCGGCACGGGACGAGGAGCTCCAACCCCGGGGGTGACGGCCGCCCTGGGGCGGCCCCGGGATCGCCCCGCGCCCATGCCTCGCCAGCGGGGCCACAGTTGCGTCGGCCGGACAAGGCGTGCCCCCTCGGTGAGGCAACCTCGTTCGATGCCGTTCCCTGTTCGTCGACCGAAGGCCAGCAGCATCAGGGTCAGGGCCGTGGCGGCCAGCGAGATCCCTCGCATGTGGTACGAAGATACGGATGCCATTATCGCTGCCTTAGAGCGGGGCTGGGGGGTGAGAGCCCCGGCAGGGAGACCCACTTCGCTCTGTCTCTCCGATCTCTCCTCGTCTTCTCTCCTCCGTCATCCCTCCATTCCGTTCGAGGGTCTCTGGAGGTCCTTGCAGGCCTCTGGAGGCCTCTGGATGAAACTTGATCCTCGATCCTCAAAGTGCAACGGCATTGACGGCCGCCGTAGTGCGTGAGCACCAGGTTTTTATGAATGACGCGTCCGGATGTGATTGAAACGCTTGACCGTCTTTCACGCGGCTTCATAAACTCACCACCATGTGAGAAACCATGTGCTTGCGCAACACATGAGACACGATACGGGATCTCGACGTGCCCGGGTCAAGCGGCTACCGAGTTGTGTCAGGACTCCAGGGTGTAAGGTCACAGCCCTGGGACACCTAGACAATCCTCTCCCTCCTGCAATTACTACGCAGGCCGGGAGTTGTTCTTCTGGAGCCCCAGATGCCGATGTCCAGCACATCCTTCTCCATTCGGTTTTCCGCCTCCTCCTCCTCCTCCTCCTCCTCCTCCTCTGAGTCTTCTCCATTCTCCAACGCTCCTCGCGCCTTATGATGTTGGCTGATTGAAATCTCTCCCCAGCAGAATCATAGCATTGATCTGAAGATCCATGGCTCTGTGGATCCCGTTCCTGTTGGTCCACGTCCTGAAGATTTAATGCTAGTATCATTGTCATTCGTATCATTATTATTATTAGTATTCGTCGTCTTCTTCTTCGTATTATCAACAATACTAATGTTACCATTATTATCATTACTGCTCGCATGCGTATTCATGTTTTTCGTAATAAGATGTTTGTTGCTTTGGTTTTTCCAGATTCTGGGGTAAGAATATGACCTGCGACACTTCCATAACAACACATGGGATCCAGACGATCGAGAAATGGGATTCACGATACTGTTGCACAAGAAGTAATGGGACCCAATGGGATCCATTGCTTTCCGTGCACGAACTGGGGAAGTGTGCGTTTTCCTCCTCCTCCTCCTCCTCCTCCTCCTCCTCCTCCTATTATTCTACTTCGTCGTCCTCCTCCTTCCTTACTCCTTCTGCTCCTTCTCTTCCTTTTCCTCTCCCTTCTCTCCCTCTGTTCCCTCCTCTTCCTCTGTTCTCGTCTCATCATGCTCCTGCTCCTGCTCCTGCCCCATCCTCCCCCATCCTCCTCCGTTTCCTCCTCCTCCGCCTCCTAGTACCCCCCATTCTCCTCCTCTTCCAGCTCCCTGTCCGCATTCCCCCTGCTTCGGCAGAAGTCTTTCAGTTCACCCTGCTCCGGCCCAGGCCAACCTCCTCCTTCTCCTGCATCACCTGCTGCCGTTGCTCCTCATCCTCCTTCTGCTCCTGATGTACCCTCCAGAATGTCCCCTAAAACCTGCACAACTCCCCACGCCCGAGAGACACCTCAAAACCTCCAGGAACATGCCGCCCTTCCGTCCCTTGTCTCATCCCGCTGCTGCTGATCCTCCTCAATATTGCTCGCATGCCAAGGTGACGGGACTCGAATGCCATTAGGAAGAGGCAGGGGGGAGGGGGAACAGACAGGAGAGGGGCACTCGATTAACAGAAATACGGCGCAAGGCGCGCTCTGGTCACGGTACAAGTGTATTGGCAATGAGATCAATCGCGGGCCAAATGGCGTGTGTGAGAGGTCCCTCGACGCTATGCCAGCCCAACCCAGACTGAAGTACGCCAGCCTCCTTTGATTCGTCGTCGTCGCAAAGGAGATCGAACAAACAGGGGGCATCGAACTTTGTCGAAATTACATAGGAGGGAAGCCCCTTCCCTTTGTCCCTTCTCCGCCGAGTGGGGAGTCCCGGGAAGCGATCCCCGGGGTGGTCCCAGTGGTGGCCCCGGGGGTTGTGACCCCTGCATCTCTGGGGACTTTCCCCTTCGGTTTTCGCCTCCCAAACGTCCAGCCCAGAGGAGACAGACGGCTCTCCTCCTCCTCCTCCTCCTCCTCCTCCTCCTCCTCCTCCTCCTCCTCCTCTTCCTCCTCCTCCTCCTCCTCCTCCTCCCTCTTTCTCTTCCTCCTCCTCCTCTTTTCTTCTCATTCTCTGTCTCCTCCTCCTCCTCCTCCTCCTCTTCTTCCTCCTCCTCCTTCTTCCTCTCCTCCTCCTCCTCGTCCTCCTCTCCTCGTCTCCTCCTCCTCGTCCTCCTCTTCCTCCTCATCCTCCTCCCTTTCTCCTCCTCCTCCGCCTCCTCCTGCTCCTCTCCTCTTTCTCCCCCTCCCCCTCCACATCCTCCTCCTCCCCCTGCCCCTGCCCTCCCCTCCCCTCCCTCCTCCTTCGCCTCCTCCTCCTCCTCCTCCTCCTCCTCGTACTCTCCGTTCTCCTCCTCTTGCAGCTCCTTGCCCGCATTCCCCCTTCTTTGGTAGAAATCTTTCAGTTCACCCTCCATCTCCCCCTCCTCTGCCTCCTCCTCCTCCGCCTCCTCCTCCTCCTCCTCCTCCTCCTCCTCCACCTCCTCCTCCTCCTCATTCCACGGCCCGCCCCATGTCCAGAGTCCGTGGCAGGGTCATCATCTCATGGTTGTCGTTGTCGTCGTGGTCGTGGTCGTCGTCCTTCTGGGCCGGCGGCACCGGCCGCAAGGCCTTTACAGTAAACAAGTCTGGCAGAGCCGCTCACAAGGAGCGACAACGAGGCCCTTGGCGGGAAGCAGCACCGCCAAGTCCGACAGGGGGAGAAGGGAGGGATGGGAGGGACGTGGGAGGGAAGGTGGGAGGGAGGAGGGAGGGAGGATTGACGAGAGCGGGAAGAAGGGAGGAAGGGAGGGAGGTCGGAGCGTCGGGGGAGGGGGGGCGGAGAGGATGGGGGAGAGGAGGAGGTGAGCGAGAGGGAGGAGGAGGAGGAGGAGGAGGAGGAGGAGGAGGAGGAGGAGGAGGAGGATGAGGATGAGGATAAGGAGGAGGAGGAGGAGGGGGAAGAGGAGAAGGAGGAGAAGGTCCAGGAGGAGGAATGCGAGGATGACTCTGATCAGGAACATGATGATGCCGATGATGATGCTGCTGCTGATGATGAAGATGAGTAATGACGTTGAGTCGGAGGAGGTTCTGCGGTGTATGGGAGGGCACCCAGTTGGTTTAAAAGTAATAACACGTTTTCTTTTCAGGGTGGAATATGGGAGTGTGAGGGGGTACAGTTTAAGGCGCGTTGCATGTGAACCCAGACGGGAGTGTTTTTTTTGTGTGTGGGGGGGGGGCATGAAGAAAAACCTGAGGCACGAGAGATTTAGCATTCCACATTCGAGCAATACGGCAACGACAGAGAAACAATCACATAAAGAAAGGGTGCGCCGATCACTTGTAGCTCCCCGTTTGTTCACGATTCCGACACATCATCCTGCTGTCCCTGGCCATGGGGTGGCTACAGCGAGGCCCCGAACGGTTTTTCCCTGCGGGAGACGGCGGCCAATGAATATCACGAGGGGTCCCCTGGATATGTGGCCAGGGTGGATTACTTTGGAACGGAACGATCTGCAACAATGAAAGGGGCCCTGGGACACACACACAAATCAATAAACACAAGGAACCGAATTCCTCACATGTTCCATTTTCTCTGGGGTTTTCCCCACATGCATCGTGGGGTTCTGGTTTTCTTCCTTCCCACGTCCCACCCGCGAAGCCCACCTCGCCTCGCCTCACCTCACCTCGTCTCCCTAATTCTCCTTTTCGGGCTCGCATAGCCTGGCAGGCGTGGCACGTCCTCGACACCAAAAGGGAATGCGTTGGGGGTGGTTTCCCTATCCGTGGCACGTGCATGAGACGCGCGTCTACGTGTAGCCGCACGCGCACACACACTCGCGCGCACAACATACAACATATAACGCTGGTGCACGCCTGGCGTGTTCACTGCGTCATATATACACGACGTGTGCGCCACGTACTGACACGGCCGCACGCGCAACATACACATACACATGACATGCCATATACAAGACGTGCGCGTAGGATTCGCAGTGCATGGCAGGCGTGGCATTTCCTCGACGCTACAGGGGGTGCGCTGGGGGTGGGGGCCCTATGCGTTGCAGGCTCGCAGGGCGTGGCAGGCGTGGCATTTCCTCGCCGCCACAAGGGGTGCGCTGGGGGTGGGGGCCCTATGCGGTGCAGGCTCGCAGGGCGTGGCAGGCGTGGCATTCCCTCGACGCCACAAGGGGTCCGCTGGGGGTGGGGGCCCTATGCGGTGCAGGCTCGCAGGGCGTGGCAGGCGTGGCATTTCCTCGGCGCCACAGGGGGTGAACTGGGGGTGGGGGCCCTATGCGTTGCAGGCTCGCAGGTCGTGGCAGGCGTGGCATTTCCTCGACGCCACAAGGGGGTGCGCTGGGGGTGGGGGCCCTATGCGGTGCAGGCTCCCAGGGCGTGGCAGGCCTGGCATTCCCTCGACGCCGCGGAGGGCTCGCTCGGGGTGGGAACTCGGAACTGAAAACACGTTGGCTCAAGCCAGCTCAGCGCGCCGGCGCTCTCACGCAGGCTCGCTCCTGTAGTCCTAGTTCAGAGCACCGCCTTGCCTGCGCGCGGCAGCCATGCCCCCCAAAATCGCCGTGGACGCGCTGCCACCTCCATGTTTGGCGATAAAGACTGCAATGGTTCAGACGGGCGGCGAGTTTAGCGTGGAGACCTCGCGCACATGCACCAGCGAAATGGTGCAGTCCGCTTTGAATGCGTACCGCCGCCAGCTTAAGAATTGGTGGCCCGATACGCTTTACGCGAAGTACTCCGAGATGAACGACGACGGCCAGAGGCAGTGCTTGGTGTCGTACCTGCAGAACCCTGCGTCGGGCGGATTCCGCCAGGAGGCTCTTTTCGACGACGGCGGCGGCCCGCCGGCAAAGGTTCGGCGAGTGCGCGAGGCCGGCAGCGCGGCTGCTGACGCAGAGGCCCCCACCGTGGCCCCCACCGCAGCGTTTGTCACGCCTACGAAGGCTACGCCGACGAAGGCCACGCCAACGAAGGCCCCGCCCATGCATAGTTGCACTCCG